AGACTTGCGCGGGAAGCCGCGAGCTGGTGGTCTCCTTTTCTTGATAAACGCCCTGATAAGAGCCCTGTTGATGACGCATCTTTCGGTCCACTGTGCCTGAGGTGGAGCTTCCAATGAACCCTTCTTTCGGAAAGCTTCAAGAGTCTTGAATGAAGGATGATGGAGGAATTCAAGCTGCTTTCTCTGGGTGAGTTTGCACTGATGCGGCTCAAAAGAAGACCCAATGCCCAGCTCACAAATAACTGTTACCAACTCGGCTCAGTCGACTTCCTTCAGTCCTTCAGCTTGACTGAGTAGAACTGTGTTTATGTGTGTTTGCAGTAGCGCGCGTGCTAGTGTGTACTCCGAGCAGGCTAACGGCTAACTTGCAGGTTGCCACATGATGTGTTCATGAAACAGCCAGGAAAGAACAACAGGATGGATGCCGTAAACCGCACGGAATGCCGCAAAAGCATCACTGGGACCAGAACTCCGCATAGGTCTCTCGAAAGCGGCCGTTGCTCCACAGCTGACGGCCTCCACTGTCAGCGTCGTCCACAACACTTCTCACGGGCTGGCAAGTCTGTGGATGTTTTGCCGGGACTACTTTGAAAGGTCCCTACCACCTGCAGCGGCTTGCCTTTCAGACTAGCTGTTGCCCTCGACGGCGATGCACTCTGCCGTCAACAGGCACTCCGTGAGGATGCCGACGAGTTGGGAAATGAGTCGAAAACAGGATGGACAGAGCCCGAAAACCAAAAAGACCGAGTCAGAAAACAAGCAGCACCAGTCAGCAAAACTTGTTCTTCACGCGCAGCTTCGCATGGATGCACTGAAATGCCAAATGAGCTCGACAGCCACTGGAGATGTCTGCACCTAATGCTTTGCTGTGCACGTTCTGGCCAGGCAGCGTCTCAATCAATACAAACCGTAGGTGGACGACACTCCACCGGTTTTCTGATATCTGATAGACACATGCCAAACCAACATCACACAAGAGGTGTCCCTTGAAGGCAGAGAGGAATGGGTGGTGCAAGAAGCGCAAAAGCCATCCTCCATAACCTTCCGACAATT